TTTACAAATTCGACGTGAATTTGGACATAACGCTGAATCGCTCTTGAAAGCTGCTCCAACGAGAGTGAAGAAATTATTTATTAAAATTGATCGCATAACTTGAAAATAAACAAACACTTGACATAGCAAAATCAACGAAACGGCGTACATATCCTTTTGTGACGCATAAACTTGAAAAGAAATTGCCGGAGTAAAATAAACAACTCTCAAATGGTTTTATACTCGGCGACGAAACACTTTTGGGTACTTTGAAAGATACCAACTAACAACACGGAAAAATTCTTCGTTTCATTTTTTAAAAATATATAAGGAGTTTTTAATATATTTTTTTATACGAGGAGGTTTCAATATACTCAAAAGAATCAATGAAATTGAAAATGCTACAAGGTTAAAGCAAAAAAAAGGAGTATACGATTTATCCAACCCACAACAGATACCGCCATGTTCCACAGGTACATTACAATTATTTTAAGACACAATTTTCAAAATATATTTCTCCAGAAAATATGAAATGTGTTAAGCTTGTTTATCCTGATATTGGTTTCCCGGTTAACAAAAATAAACAAAATAATTCAATTTTGACGTTACAATACCGTTATGAATAATGGATCTGTCGATGTTACGAAATCTCGCCGTTACGAATTGACGACGCGACGTTACGAATTATCCGTTACCATTTGTGGAGTTACCAACTGTCGTGTTACGGTATATCTTGTCACGATGAAAAATATGTCATATATCTTAAACGAAAACACATCCTGTAGAGGATGATGCTGATCATCAATTTCTTTTTGTGTTTTTATTTACTGGACTATCTACTATGAACGAACTTCTGTTGTAAAGTAGATAAGTATAACTATTTTGGCAGAAAATTTGCCATTAGACATTACTTTGTGCTGTGAACGAACTTCTGTTACAAAGTGTATAAAAATATAACTGTATTACCAGAAAATGTGCCATTAGATATGTTAATACATTGTATGTAAACAAGAACAATTAATTTTATATATAAAGCACATTCTTTACAAATGGACAATTCTTTAAATATTTACAATAGAAAGGTTTATTGGCGTCAGAACCTATTTAAATGATGACAAAATTTAAATTATGTTAAGCTGCCAGAATGCCAGATGAATGGGGAAGCAGTATCTGAGTAACTGTATAAAAACAAATAGTCTGTTCAACAATGTATAAACCGAAAGCCACTGTGGATTTATGAAAGGCAGATAAATAATATATATACAATTTGGATTACAAAACAGCTAATTAATAAAAGTAGAGAAACAAATAACATCCACAGATCTTGAGAAAGAATACAATTGAGATGCATACTCGATATGTCAATTTTTTCCCCGTTATTAAGATAAAAATGTTGGTATTTTTTTTTCATTAAATTTTAATATTACATAGTTTTTTACCAGAAAACCAGATTTTTTACGATGTAGGTTCATAATTTAAGTCGAATCAAATACATCATGTCGTTGCAGTTCCCAACAACAAGTCATTGTGTGAAAATAAATAGACTGCATTCTCATCTAATATTTTCTGAAATTTTAATGGAATCTTGCATGGAAAACAATAAATAAAGTGTACATTTCTCAGTGATGTTTATTTTACGGTCTAAAAGTAGATTATTTCAGAACAGTTTATACTTCAATCCAAAATGTGGGTATACCAAATTCACATTTAGGTTTATTTTAGTATCATTACGATTTACAAATTAATTTGTTTAAGAATGAAACTTAAACAATTTCTACGGAAAACATGTAAATATTTAGTTGCTACTGTCTACCTGAAATGTTTGAATATTTTATTTACCTTCCTTCAACATTCAGTTTAATGGACCAGGTAATAATGGTTAGGAGACTGTTACTTGTTACTCCTCAGTTCCATCATAATCAATTTGCCGAAGTCTACAAAAACCCAAAACGTAGGTAGGCAAATTAAATCGTTACAATTTTAGAAATTTTTTGATTCATTAATTTTAACCATTTGTATTTTTGGTGGATTTATTTATTTTGTCTTATTCATTGATAGTTATTACATCAATACCTAACTGTGTAGTAGAATATTATGTTTCTTTTACACTACATCTACCGGAACATTGTAGCAATCATGCACACATTTATTGTACTGTATTTTAACCGACACGCATGTCTTTTTCTATATTATATAAATGTAATTACCACTGAATTAGTTAATGTTAATTATGATGCTTCTGTTCGATTCCCTTCCTGACATATTGCAATAACAAAGTCCCAAGAGTAGTCATTATTATCAAGGGATGTTATAGAATAGAGAATTTTTAATTATAAATGTGCACATGAGTATGCTTTCACGGTAACCTAAATTATTGTATTATATACATCAAAAACAAATAATCTAACGCACAAGAAAATCTTCGTATGTAAAGTATACAATCTAGTGCATTTATTTTAAAATAAAGAATTATATGGTATTACGGATGTAAGTATGGTAAGTAGTTGTCATTAAAGTTTACATTTTTATCTTATGTTATTCTGATTCAACACTATCCGGGTTACTTTAATGTTTTTGAAAGCCTTAAATATCATATAAAGATGACCCAGAGTAAATTTAACTATTCAACAAGGTATAAAAGACAAAGTTGTAAAATCAGAAGTAATTTATTACCAAAACATAAAAGCGTACAAATGCGGATTTACTATTTAAAAACGATGGTGCCCATATGACGGCCGTCCTGCTCATATAACTATTGTAAACATCTGTGTGTTGGAACACACGTTAGCATCAAGCAATTAGAATATTGTTCGATTCATCGCGAATCCGTTGTTTCAGCTAAGCGATGGTAGCAGGGGATCAACGTTATAGATGCGGCTTTTCAAGTATCCCCACAAAACGAAATTTGAAGGCGTGAGGTCAGACGATCGTGGTGTTCATTCAATGTCGCCATGTAAGAGATGAGACGAAAGTCTGTAGGTTTTGGGTACTGTACAAGCTGAATTTTAAAACAATGAATTTCAAATCCAGCTTTAAAATGCTTTGCACTCTTGGACGACTACTGTTTAATGTATGTGCAACCTTACAAGCCGATCTTCTAGGATATCAAGGCACTGCACGGCATACACCAGCAATATTCACTGATGGTCGAATCGGCTTTGGCTTACCTGGGTGTTTGTGATTTTGGACTGAGCCAGTGTTTCGAAACTTTGACAGCCACGCTTTTAGAACATTTTTATAGGATGTATCCGCTACGCGACAAATATTATAATAAGCCCATAACTGTGGACTTGTCACTGTGTACGAACCCTTGCTCTTAAAATATGCTTCGATTATAAACGCTAGTTGTTCACTTGACCACTGCTCCATGGCTATTAACAAATCCGCACATTTACTCTGGGTCACCTCGTATAAGATATACATACATATTACAGGATTCAACTTTGTAAATACAAAACATTTTGGAGACGGCTACCCTTCCGTTCTCCTCCGCCAATCCTCCCGGTCCAAGGCATGCTCCTTCCCCAACCTCTCGATTCCATCGCTCTTCTAATTCCTTCATTCCATGAACGTTGAGGTCGAGATCTAACTCTTCTTCTTCTTCCAGGGGGCTTCCATCTGTGAAGTTTTTAGGGCCAACGTTCGTCAGACATTCTCAATATCCAAATCATTTTAAACCTCTTCTTTCTATTCTGTCAATGACTGGTTGTGTAGCATTCATGTTATTTCTCATAGATTCGTTGGACTTCCATTCCAGCCTTGATGTTCTAGCACTTCTCAAATAATCCATTTCAATTTTCCTTACTTCAGAGCCATAGCAAAAAACTAATTCAATCATGGTTTGTCCTATTCTTTTTTGTTCCTTTTGGAAATGTTGCGATCCCACCATAAACAGTTCAGACATCCTAAAATTTTACGTCCCTGGTTAATTCGGTGTTTAATTTCGGTTTCTCCCAAGCCGCTCTTATCAATGAGTGCACCTAAATATTAAATTTTGCAAACCTTGCATCTGAATTGATCTAAATATTCTGTTTTCTTCATGCTGACTTGTAGCCCCCATTTTGCATATTCTCTGTATAGACGCCTTCTCATAAATTCTAGATCATAAGAATCTTGAGCTAGGACCACTTGGTCATCCGCAAAGTTCAGGTAGAACAGTACGTCATGGGGATTCCCATTCCCTGGCAGTGGTTTATCCAATTTACAATTTTTGATATATAATTTATGGAAACGGTCAGGTCTTCTATGCACCGTCCAAGTGTAGCAAAATAAATATATCGGCCGGGTACAAGTATTTAGGTTAAATTACTTCGGATTATCCTTCGACTTTGGTATATTTCCATTAAGCGGTGGTTCTTTTTGTTGTGTGTATTTAAATAAGTAAATCTTCTTACTCAATAGAAATGTATTTTTCTCAATTTTTATTATTGTTCATTATCGTCACCTTTAGCAAAAAGGGATCGAAAGTAGTCTATCCATGTTTCATACAACACTATTGGATGGTAAATTTACAAGTAATTTTTCTATCGACCCCTTATTATAGTTTACAGAATTCATTTTCATTTATTCTTGCAAATGACAGTAGACGATTGCATTTATTTTATAGAGCAGCAAAAGCACCGTCTCAAGAATAAACCATTGTAAGGTGAAACTGTAGATATTGTCAGAATAAAAGGTTATCCCTAACATCGGCCAATAGCTTCCTGTAAGCTTGGATTTGCAGTTCACCTAATTCACCATTGAAAAGAAGTCTCCTGACTTCTTGCTGGCTCATATATAAGTCGCTACTAGCGTACTCAGGCATGTTATGTTACTATAATGGCCATATAGACGAAGATCATTAAATTTCAGTTTGAATTACCACAAGTGTTCCTGATGGGAGGTGAAAGTTCGAAACATTGAGTGATACAGTAAAAATATATCGATATGATGTATGGTTTGTCTCTGATCGTAATTCATATTGTAAATCAGCTACGAAAAATATTTTGTATTTTTAAATTAATAAATATTTTCTTTTCCAGTACAGAAGAAGTTGCTAATGGAACAACATGGTGTCCATATTAGAAGAAGCAGATGATCCGATGCTTAGATGGAAAAACAGAGATGTGGAAATGCAAAGTTATTCTTATAGTATCTCCAGCGAGGAAGAAAGCGGTTCCGCTTTCGATATAGAGCAAAGAACAAGAACGAAACCTTATCAAGAAATATGGAATACAAATTCTATATGGGAGAGTCTTATGGTAAGCCTTTTAATTCTTTACACATTAATATCTTCAATACTATCATATTTACGGGTAAAAGCTTAAGTAAATCTTTAAGTAGGATGGCATTTTTAAACATTCATAGCTTGAAGACTTTGTAATATTTATATTTAAAACAGTTCTTAGTATTTTCTAATATATCATGACTATTCTGCAGGTAATTCTATAATACTGCTATTACCAACCTTGTGAATATTTCATTTCTTCTACTGTTGCATAATTTTGTTTTTTTTTTCAGCATTTGAATGAGGCAGAAGAAATAAATGAACTATTACTTAAAGACGATGTGAAAAAGGCTATCGGTACTAACAAAAATACTGCTCTACTAATTTCGTCATGGACAGGAAATGTATCTGCGTTAAAAAGTATCATAGAAGCCGGACCGTTTCTAGATAAAACCGATGAAAATGGAAGGTAATGTAATTTTAATATGCTACTTATATAATTTTATCATTTTTATACTTCAGATCCGCACTCGATTACTACAATAGTCTAATTAATCAATATATTCTTACTGTTTTAGGACAGCAGTCCACTTGGCATCTTACGGCGGGAAAAGTGAATGTTTAAAGCTATTACTAGACGCAGGTTGTAACATAAACGCCTATGATCACAGCAAGCAGATTACGCCTTTGCATTGCGCAGCCGGGGCGGGAGATTTAACCTGCATAAAGATCTTGATAAAAAGAGGGGCAGGCATCAACGCCGGTTTAAACAGTGGAAATTTTAGACCCCCATTGTATTTTGCAGTACAAAGCAACGCTACCGAATGTGTGAAAGAGCTGTTGCAAAACGGAGCTATTCCAAATACTTGCCAGGTAAGATTGTCCAATTATTTTATTATTTTTCTCATTTTTATGCTGACGGTTTGTCAAGCACTATCTCCTGAAAGTATTTCTTATAATACATTTTTAAATCCTTGACTTGTATCGCTTACCTCTTCCATCTCTTCCTTAATTTTTCCACGTTTCAATATTACATATTTTAGCATAAACTTGGATGTTCTCAGTGATTTTACTGTTTTTACAAGAAAATTATAATCATGGAGAAATGCGTGTGTCTTTATTGAAGGTTAAAAGACAACTGTTATAATTTATCTCTGCCTGTCTATAAGATAACATAAACATTTCTTTTTGATTATTTGTTTGGCTTACATTTTGTCCAAATGCATCTCTTACGTCCAAACCACGTGAAGTATCTATAGTTTCGTGGTTTTGGAATCGTTGCTCATTATTTTGAGATTGCTGAACGGACTGCGACTGATTTTGCACAGTTGATGGCAAATATTAAACTGGTGTCCTTGTGGTAACTGGTTTAATTTACTTTGTTCATTTCTCCGCTCTGTTTGAATATGTGGTGCTGATTGAATTGCAGTACCAATTCTATTATGTTCCCAATTAGGTTGGAATATCATTACTGCCGTTCCGTGACGAAAAGAATGCATCTTCCATCTGAACTCAGCGTCTCAAAATTGTATTTAATGTACACTGCTCACTTGCTCAGACAATTCCATCGGATACTGTAAAGAGATCGTATTTCCGGTATATATATATTTAACAGAAAATATCATTTGAGCTTTAAAACTCCAAGAACAGACGTTTGCTAAGAACAGAGCTAAGTGAACGCATTAAATACGAGAAAAATGAACAATCTAAAATTAAACTAATGACTGAAAAACGGATCCACAAACTTCGAGCAAAAGCATTTTTCCAATTTCTTCAAGAAAACAGAGAAGACCTAGACACTTTGTCGTCGACTGCCAAAAAAATTTGGTCCTCCCCAAAATTCCTGATCAATGTGCTTATTATTCAAAGCAGCTTTATTTTTATAAGTTTACCGATGTTGAAGGTTCCTCAAAGTCTCCACTTTCAAAGGAAAATGTATTTTCATACTGTTGTACTGAGGCCAAAATAAAAGCTCGATAATGATTGGCATATGCTGCAAATGGCTAGCCGAGAGCACACCATTAAATGTTTAATTACTTGAGTTAGTTTTTCCTGTAGTTGGTCACTCGTTTTCGGTAAAATTGAGAAGAATTTACGAAAACTAGAAGTAGTAGCAACACCTGGCGAATACAAGGAAATTATTAACTGAAATGAGGTTGAATGCTCGAATAAATGAACTTTGAAAATAAGGCTATTATCGAGCACAAGTTAATTAAATCTAGCCCAAGTACTTTTGCTTTCACAGCTCTTTCAGTTTCTACTTATGTAGGCAGAACCATTAGAAAGCTATCTACTAGAATATCAGAACATTTAAAAAGACCAAACTCTTCAAGTTTTGGTCAACATTTAGAGTCTAGCAAACACAATTTCAACATCAATACTGGTTCGTCTATTTCGCATGACATCAGTAGAAAGAAAAACTATTTGGAGTTGGATCTATTGGAAGATTTGGAGATCACAAAGGAAACGAATGGAAACTCTCATTGTCTTAATACTCAAATTAATTTAAACTGTACCAAATAAAAAAATAGCTCTATTTTTAAAAACTTTATTACAGCTTCACCTCGTAGTGGACCCAGCTCGGCTGTCTAGACTTCCTGCACTGAGTTTTATACATTAAGAATCTACCAATTTCAGGCTTTGTTCAGCATTACTATTGTATTTAATAATTTACACAACTAGCTTGCTCAGATTCAATTGATCCACAGTTGGAGTTGATTTCACTCTTCATACCTCTGCATAATCTACATATACTAATTCCACAGTTTTATATTTCAACACCTGTTGGTCAGTTGGTCTTTAGTAATGCTATTACATATTAGTTTTATAGTTCCCCCATTGGCTTGTAACTGAACTACTTGAACTATACCCATTTACACACTGCTTTCAATTCTGATTTCTTCTTCTTCTTCTTTTTTATAAGCAAAATGCTTGTTCAATGTCGATTAATGCCTCTATTGGAGGTTATCACTCCATCTTTTGCGTGGTCGCTCGATACTTCTACCTTTTGGTGATTTGTCCCTCGCTATTCTGACTAATCGGGTCTCTTCCATTCTGTTTATGTGTTCGTTTCATTCCTTTTTTCTGTTCCAATTTTCTGTCCTGTTCAATTCTGATTTAATTTTAATATTTCAATTTCATAGTCAATTTTCTTCTCGTTTTGCAGTATTGACAGTGCCTGGTAGACCATTTTATTGTAGTCAACTACCCACTGTCGTTTGGTCTATTTCTTTCATTCACACTTTATGTACACTTCATTTAGCCTCAAACCTACAACCTTATTATTACAGACGGGTGTGAGTGTGAGATCTGGATTATGTAATCTAGTTTAAATCAAAATATTCTATATGTCATACTTCATCAGCTGATTTTTTCAGTAGTAGTTCTAGTTGGACCTTTGGCCAATGACAACTTATAAAGAATTTTAATATTTGCTGATCACAGATCCATAACTTTGACTGCCTATCAAAGTTGTCATATGTACATGTCACCGTATCATTTCCGCTTAGATCATTATTCCTCCAGATACTGACAGAGAATGTAGCGTAGAATCTTTAAGTAATTATAAAAAATGTTTAGTGGATATTCTGATAGAACAAACCGATATGGTGTGGCCATAATGGTAAGCAAGGAAATAGATAAATCCGTACTTGGTTTCACCCCACTTTCGAATCGCATTATAATGCTACAAATTAACACCAATATAGGGAAAATGAATGTTATTCAAGTATATGCACCAACAGCTGACAAGGAGGAACAAGAAATAGAAGACTTCTACGAGCAATTAGAAACAATAATGAAAACAACAAAAAAACGTGAAGTTCTGATACTAATGGGTGACTTTAATGCCAAAGTGGGCAGAGGAAGTGTGGATAGTTGTGTTGGAATGTATGGATTGGGAGAGCGAAATGAGCGTGGTGAAAGACTAATTCAGATGTGCCAAATAGAAGAACTAGTAGTTATGAATACAATGTTTAAATTACCAAATCGCCGGCTCTACACGTGGAAAGCTCCTGGAGACAGCAAAGATAGAATCATAAGAAATCAGATAGATTACATCTTGATAAGGAACAGGTACAAGAACTCTATTACAGTAGTGAAGACTTACCCTGGAGCAGATGTAAACTCGGACCACAACCCAGTAGTAGCAAATATGAATGTAAGATTGAGAAAACCATTAATGAAAAGATCTAGACCACAAATATGCATTGATAAGTTAAGAGAACCAAATACATACCAAGAAACTCAAAACAAAATAAATCAGAGTATCCAAGAAATAAAACAACAAAATAGTAACACTACAGATATTGACACAAAGTGGAAGAATATAAAGAACGCAATCGAGACTGTGGGACGGAAAACTTTAACATTTACAAAAGCTGCCAAACAAGAATGGATGACACAAGAAATTCTCGAAAAGATGGACGAAAGAAGAACACATAAAAATAAAGATAAAATTAAATATCAAGAAATTAATAAACAAATAAAACAGAAAATAATACAAGCTAAGGAAACATGGATGTCCATTAAATGTCAAGAAATCGAGGAATGTGAGGCAAGGTATGACACTTTCAACACCCATAAGAAGGTTAAAGAAATGATTTCAGGAAATCGTAACAAACCAATCGGGTATTAAAAAATGCAGATGGTACCACTATAACTGAAACGCAAGACAAACTACGTAGATGGAAAGAATACATTGAACAACTATTTTATGATCAAAAAGTAGAACAATTATTAGAAGTTAACGGAGAAACCACGGGACCAGAAATAATGAAAGAGGAAGTTATGTATGCTATAAAACACACAAAAGGCAGAAAAGCTCCAGGACCCGATGAAATACCAATTGAACTATTGAAGATAATTAATGAAGATAATATTGATGTCTTGGTAGACCTTTTTAAATCCATATACAAGACGGGACACATACCCAAAGAGTGGCTTCTCTCAACTTTTGTGACGATTCCAAAAATCACAAATGCTAAAGATTGCAATGACTATCGAACAATTGCGTTAATGAGCCACACATTGAAAACCTTCCTTAAAATCATACATAACAGAATCCACATGAAATTAGAACAAGAAATAAGTGATTCACAGATGGGTTTCAGAAAGGGTCTAGGAACTAGAGAAGCATTATTTGGAATCCATGTTCTGACACAACGATGCCTGGATATGAATCAGGACATATATGCTTGCTTTATAGATTTCCAGAAAGCTTTTGATAGAGTTCAACATGAGAAGCTTTTAAGTATTCTTAAGACTAAAAACATTGATAGTAGAGATCTACAAATTATATCGAATCTGTATCAAAACCAGAAAGCAAGAGTAAGAGTCGAAGGAGAACTGACAGAGGAAGTAAGTATACTTAGAGGAGTTCGACAAGGGTGTATCCTTTCACCACTCTTATTCAACGTCTACAGTGAAGTGATTTTTCAAGAGGCTTTATTGGATATCGTGGAAGGTATTTATGTCAACGGAAATAGCATTAATAATATTAGATATGCCGACGATACTGTCATATTTGCAAGTGACATGGAAGATCTACAGTACATAATACAACATGTATACAATGCATGTGAAAGTTACGGACTGCAAATGAATCTCAAGAAAACGAAATCAATGATATTCTCAAAAAAACCACAAAATGTAAATAACCTGATCATCAATAATACAACGATAGAAAGAGTAAAAACATATAAATATTTAGGAACGTGGCTAACCGAAGATGGAGATCAAGTAAAGGAGATCAGATCTAGAATAGAAATGGCAAGAAACACGTTCATAAAATTGAAGAAATTACTTTGCAACCGTAACCTTAATCTAGAGATTCGCACAAGAATGCTACGTTGTTACGTCTTCTCTACTTTACTATATGGCATGGAAGCGTGGACAATAAAGCAGTCTGAAATCAAAAAATTAAACTCCTTTGAGATGTGGTGCTACAGGAGAATGCATAAAATATCGTGGATTGAAAAAGTAACTAATATAGAGGTGTTACAAAGAATGAAGAAAGAATGTGAAGTCATAAAAACTGTTAAAATTAGAAAGATTCAATATCTGGGACATTTAATGAGGGGTGAGAAGTACGTATTACTGAGGTTGATTATGCAAGGGAAGATACAAGGGAAGAGAAACCCAGGACGACGCAAAATGTCCTGGCTAAGAAATTTGAGAGAGTGGTTCGGCTGCAGCTCATTAGAATTATTCAGAAATGCGGCCAACAAAGTTAAAATAGCGATGATGATTTCCAACCTCCGCTAGGAGAAGGAACCCGAAGAAGAAGAAGAAAAAATGTTTGTCCTCGTTTTAGTGTAGTGTTTTGTGCAGTTTTATGTCAATATTAATGTTTCCACATTCTACGCTTGCCGGATAGTTTACATTTTGACGAAGTAAGTCTAAAACGTTAATCTCAAAAACTTTTTTTCATCCATTAACTTCGAGTTTTTTATCGAAGTTAACTAATGTACTTCATCTAAAAAACGTTTTCTTGGCTTATTTCAGATGCCCTGAAGATGCTATTTTAAGCGAAAGTACTTGGGCTAGATTTAATTAACTTGTGCTCGATAATAGCCTTATTTTCAAAGTACTAGGAAATTATTTTCTAATTTTCTAAGGTCGTTAATATAAAACAAAGCTGTGTTTACGACTGGAAGTCTGCTATTCTTAAACCAGTGGGTGAATTAAGAAATGTAAAAGCTATATTTTAAAACTATGTAGGACAGGAAATGTTTTAGTACGAGTTAAACTTCATTACAAAAACGATTTCGGCTCTTTTGTAAATATCACACGAAAAGACAACCAGATTAGCACTATCAATCCAGAAAAACTTATCCCCGATGCTCACAAAGTAAATAATTTAAGACTTGATGATGTGCAAAATCTTTTGACCACACATTTTGGTTTAGACTGGACACATGTTTACATATTATATTATTGCTCAATATTAAAATATATATATATATTTTTTCACTAAGCAACCGACACAATAATGTTTTATTAGTTTAAAAACTGGCAATACTTTTATAGATTATTTTTATATCCGTCAATATCCAAGCATTGCAAACAAAAACAGCAATCTCAAAATAAAATATTAAGAAAAAGGAAAAGAAATAATTTCTTAAGCTGCTCTCTCTGGACATCCGATCATAAACCAAATTTTATATCATTCTTCATCAATTTTATTGTTTTAATTTAATTTTGGTGTGCCTAAGTCATGTCATTAGTTTTTTTTTCTATATGCATATCTATCTTTCTATATTTCTATATATATATATATATAATATATATATATATATATATATATATATAATATTATATATATATATATATATATATATATATATATATATATATATATATCTAATAATATCTCCCTATTAGTGTGCAATATTAGTTATACTCCACATGTTTTGGTTTCAGATTTTTAGTGAAACTCCCCTCCACGTAGCAGCAGCTCTGGGAAACTCTGGAGTAGTGGAACTTCTTCTGCGCTATGGAGCTGCCAAAGACGTACAATGTGGGAACGAGAAAATGACTCCACTCCATCTGGCCGCAGAAGATGGAGACGTAGACTGCGTTAATTTGCTTATAAACGCAGGTGCTAATATAGCTGCGAAAAACCACAAAAATCAAACACCTCTGCACTTGGCAGCTCTGTCCCAATGTGCAGAAACGATTGCGATCCTGTTGAAGAAAGGTGCAGATCCTAATGCTACCGATGTGGATGGAAGAACTCCTTTGCACAGTTCGATCGTAAAAGCTTCCAGGTCTTGCGAATGCGTAAGACTATTACTAAGCGCCAGACCTAACGTAAACAAACCAGACATTTTTGGTTACACCCCCCTTCATCTAGCAGCTCTAAATGAGTATGCTCACTGCGTTATGTTATTAATTAACCACGGTGGGGATGTAACTGCAAGAACTAATGGCGGAATATCAGTTCTTACTTTTATAACCAGGAAGACCCCAGACGTGATTCAAAAATACAAATCTAAATTCGACTACTCTATAAGACTAATAGATCATGAGTTGGGTGACATTGACTGCGAATTAAAATTAGATTTCACAGTTCTTGTACCTACCATGGGCAATAAAGAAACAGAACTTCTTTTGAACTTTATTGAAGTGGGTCATAAGGAGATTCTGAAACATCCGCTGTGTGAAACGTTTTTATTTTTAAAATGGAGGCGCATTAGAAAGTTTTTCCTATTCAGTTTATTTTACCATTCCCTTTTTGTATTCTTGTTTACTTTTTACACAGTAGGTGTATTTCTTCGAGATTGCCCATCTGCCAAAAGCCACGTCAGTCCTTGCTGGGTACCAGAGTATGTCAAGACTGTGGGTTATGTGCTATTAATTCTGAATTTGTTATTGTTAGCTAAGGAATTATTTCAGATAGCCCATTCGTGGGTCACGTACGTAAGGCAATGGGAGAATGCTCTCCAATGGTTTATTATTTTTGGAGTGTTTTGCTGTGTTCAACCAACCACCAATATGGATGTAGAACAGGATGTATATAATTGGCAGCACCATGTTGCAGCCATTAGTATATTTGTCACTTGGGTCGAGCTAATGATGATAGTTGGAAGGTTTCCTGTATTCGGTTTGTATATTCAAATGTTTACGACAGTTGCGGTAAATTACGCTAAGTTTATGCTGGCTTATTTTTGCTTATTTCTGGCATTCTCTTTAAGTTTTGGCGTCATATTCGCCAATTATAAATCCTTTAAAGACCTCAAATGGGTACTGTTAAAAGTCATAATAATGATGTCAGGAGAACTAGAGTATGAAGATGTATTTTTTCCCGATGATAAATATGAGAAAATCAAATATCCTTATACAGCACAGTTAATGTATCTATGTTTCGTAATCTTGGTGACGATTATTTTAACGAATTTAATAGTCGGTCTTGCAGTTAGCGATATTCAAGAATTACAACAAAGTGCTGGACTAGATAGGTTAGTTCGACAAGCCGAATTAGTAGCTCACTTGGAGAGTATGTTGTTTTCCAAACTTCTGACGTGCATACCTTACAAGGTGATGAAATTTTTACATAACAAAGCATTGCTCCTCAGGTCTCAGCACCATTGGGCTTTATATATACGGCCCAATGATCCAAGAGAAGAAAGAATACCACAAGACTTGATTAAAAATATTTATCAATTAGTAGTAGCGCGAAAAGAAAAACCAAAAAAAAATCGACGAATGAAATCAGACTATTATTACGACGTTATTTCTCCTTCCCTCTCAAGGCTAAGTTCTTACAACAGCGATGGCGGAAAGTACGGTAGTAGAAATCAATTAACAAATCTGAAAGCTCAAGTTGACGAAGTTACAAAAACTTTTCATGAGCACAATAAGATGATGAGACATAAGATTGACAAAATATACATGGCTCTAAATGGTACTAAATAATTTCTGACGATATTGAGTGCGTCACGATCCTGTTTTTAAAATGTTCCCTGGAGTAGACATAAAATAAAGTATTGAGATATCTAAAAGATTATTTGTTACTACATCATTTAACTTTCATCACTTTACTTTCTGATGTCCTAATTGTCTTTCTTTCCTACTCACCTTTATCCCCGTATCCACTAACACCAGTCAGTTTTGACTAGCTACACACTGACTCTTTATCACTTTACAGTTGGTAACCTCTTTTAGCTAACTTGTTCTACACAGGATAACATATGTCTGACATTCCCTTCCCCCTCTACTATATGTAACATACTGGTCTTCAGTCTTTATAAAGAATGTATTAATCACAGCCAAATCCCATGCCATTTCAAAGTCAATCAAACTATTTCCTTCATCATTTCTTATTCCCATCTCCATCCCATCTCCAATAAAATACTTTTCGTCTACAGGAATCTAGAGCATCTCCCAATCAAGGGCACTCCAAAATTCTTTCTTTTCCTGTTTTTCACACTCTACTTGTGGGGCATAAGCACATATTATGTTCATGTTGGTATTGCATGTATTCTGTTGGCCTTTCATTATTTTTTCACTTCTTATGATTACCCTTACTAGATGTTCTTTCCATTTGTAGTTTAAAATAACACCCACTCCATTTCTGCGATGACTATTCACATTACTACTGTATATTGACTTGTATGCATATAAAAAATCCCTTGATTTATTACATTCACATACAGTGTACCTTTCCAACTAGTTTCTTGCATACAAAGTACAACACTCCTATGCATGAAATCGGCGAGCTCCTTTTCTGTACCTGTCATACTTCCACCATTGAGCAATTGTCAGGACTAGCTTCTTAGACCCCTTCTGTCCTGTAAGAAGTGGCCCTAGCTCACTTTTCATAGGGGTAAGGCGAAGCCGTAACTGCCTGTTGCTTATGGGTAACATCCCAGTCCCTAAACTGTTTTCTGTATTCCTTCTTTCCATGGATTTAGCATTTTAGGTTTTTTTTTACTGACGGATGCCCTTCTTGGTGCACACCCTCCAACTTTATCCCGGCTTGGGTCTAATTGGGACTTAAAAACAGTTTTTAAAATAGCGATGGATACAAATAAATTTGGCAGAGTAATCACAACCTAAGACAAAAGACGGCATTGCAAGAAAAATAATCGTAATTAAGGGACAACCTAAATAATTCAAGATTTGTACTGATCTTGATTACTCTTAATGAAAACAGCGTCGTGGCGTCACGATTATTATAACTATTCCTATTTTTTGAATAACGAATTTGATTAAAAATATAATTGTATTTTTGTAAAAAAAAACTAGAATAGTTGAAAATTTGTATTTAAATTTTATTATATTATAATTGTAAATAAAGTTATTTAAAAAATTGTATATTTTCTTAAATATAAAAATAGTAAACCATTAGCAAAAAAGTATAGAAGGACCAAACAACAAATACATTGTGAAGCAATGTGTATTTGAACCAATATTGAATTTTAACTTGCTTGTAGATGCTTTTAGACTATTTAGCCATTATCAGTGCTGTGAAGAATATGAGACAATATCTTGACCAATAGACATTGGGTCATATAAAACTCAAAGTGAATATACTAATGATTATTTTAAAAAAGTAGGTACTTACCAATAAATCACATGTATATTGGTTACCATTTTCAAGAAAAATATTAACTTGACAATCATCAACACCTGGTAGTTGGTAATTTTTTACTTTGGATTCATAGAGGATCTCAACATTGGTGTTTTTTATTTCTTGCTTTGCAGAATGCAATATTAAGTTATTTTCTACAATGTAGGAAACATCATCAGAAGATTTTATTTCCCCAAAGGTTATTGAAGCATCAGACAAAGCATCCATAACCTATAAAAAATAATGTATTATCAAAGAATATAGACGCATATGCATCTATATTCTTTGGTATTATAGTTTTTTTAAAGATTTCATAGTGGGTTTAATTTTCAATAGTAAATTATAACATGTTGGAAAGCTAACAACTAGCAAATGTATATCTACAAAGCTGCAATATGTGTAGTAAGGACTAAAAATGTCATCATTTGAAAAAGGATTAAAAAAAGGTACAAAAGCTAGAAGGTAAACATCACCAACAAGTTAGAAATATGTATTTCTAGTTAAGTTCTGTCTTCTGTACCTTTTTTTCTGGCCCTTTTCACATGCTATGACAATACTACTGATTATCTGACATATGATTAAACCCTGTATTTCTATTTTGAAGGTTTTTGAAAATAGTATTGGCTATAAGGTACCAAAAACTAACCTGTAGTCTCTTTACTGTAGCAAATCTGGCTTCTTCAATATGTTTCCATGTGCCAATATTGTTTAAGAGCTTTTTTGTTCCTGGTGTGAGAGACACAACTCTATTACTATATTTTTCAGACAAAACAAATGGTATATCCTTGGTAGATTCTAATAGTAAAATTTTTCTTCCCGAAAATCTTGAGTTTTTTCCTAAAATGAAAGAAAAGTATTAAAACAAATATTAAAAGAGAGATCAATGTATTAAGAGCCAACATTCTGCTAGAAATAAAATATTAATTTATTTAATATGTTGCTCTATACAATGTAACTGCAACAACTATGCAACAAAGCATTTGATATAATGAACCAGCATTAAAATGACATGATTGGTATAAAAGATAATGAAATCCTGTCAATATTAGATATACAGGCAATACCACAGTCTTCATGAACATCTAAACCACTTATAAACAATTACTAATCATAATAGAAAAAACATTGTAAAGAATGTGGGTTAATGCTCAACAAAAAAAAAACTAATTCAGGGTATATTAAGAGCAATGTGAGTAATATCAGCCTCCGAAATTAATACTGAATCTTCTACATATCCATTTGTGTGTTAAAAATAACTCACTTTAGAGTTGTTGAGAACTTAGACAAACTGTTGGAGATCAAAGTATACCTACCTACTGTTTTAATATTATATATTATATTATAATTCTAACATAACTAACATTGAGGACATAAAATGACAACAAGAATTGTATCATAGTACAAGGGTTCTAAAACTACATTTGTATGACATGAATGTTCTAGTCCATACTGATCTATGCTATCTACAGAATAGATACAACTTCTACAATATCCTGCTATCACTGTCATTCTCTTTGCAGTTTCACAATGCATGGGGTCCACTTCCCTACTTAATTTCTCCACAAATTTATTCTTTTTCTCCTTCTGGGAATTTGCAACTCAGCAATTCTTCATATTAGGTGATTAGCAACTCAATGTTGAACATGCACTAACCATCTTAACCTCTGCTCCCTCATTTTGGTGCCACACAGACTTCCTTTGATATATTCATTCTTAATCTAACTTTTTGTGTCACTCCAGAAGTCCATCTAAGCATTTTCATTTCCGCCACATGAAAATATTATTCATCTTTCTTTTTAACTGCTTAACATTAAGTGTTCAATACATTGGATATAAAAGGAGTATTATTATCCAAACAATGGTAACAATACTACCAAAGAATATAGATGCTTAATACTACACTGTGAAAATATTTATACAATAAAAATTCTTACCTAAAGCACATGCAAGAGTTGTTCCAATCATTCCACCACCAGCAATAACAATATCATAGTGTTTCTTTGAACATTCTGTTGAGGAGAGATGTCTCAAGATGTTTTGTAAATTGCTGCCAATATTTGGCTTGCAAATTTGCTTAACTGAATGCATTGGAAAAACTATGACAGTCCGTATTAAACTCACTATAGTAGAAAATTAAAAGTTTACTATCTAGAGAAAATTAAAACTTTCAAAATTATTTTTAAATCTTTCACAGGTTATGTTTAATAACATAACCCAGATATTTAAGCATTGTGTGAATATCTGATATTTATTTTTAGAGAACCAATAAATAACATTTTAAAACTGCATACACCAATAAAATTAAATAAAGTAGGATACAATGTAAAATTATTTTTTATTTTGCGGGTCAGTATAAACCTAGCTTTAGAATTACGTCATAAATCCACGTGCTTGACAATTTTGAAGTTTGTTACACAGAGCCGTCTCGAACTTTTACAGAAAATATTAATTTGTTTTTTTATTAAATGAAAGAATCCATTTTTACAATTACGATAGTTGCTTATAAAAACTATTTAGAGGATTATAAATTTTTCATTTTAAAATAGTGTTATAGTAGGTCTTAGTCTGCCAGGGTAGGTAACATTTTTATTTCTGAGTCATCTTTTTGCAGCCATTGCCATAGGATTTTTTCAGTTGGTGTCTCTTTATACACGTTATACATTTTCCAAAGAATTATATCCACATTACACCGATCTAGTTTTTTGGAGAAACCAGAGTTTTTCTATTTTTTTCTATCCTTTGTAGGTTTATTGGTTAATAACCAGACTACGATCACTGTAAGAACAACCCCTGGAAGGGGAAAAGAAAGAGGCTGGAAGACAGTTTTGCTGTTATGCCCGCCGTGTAGAACTGAGGTATTTTTCGAACATTTTGACCAACCCCCTCACAAAAGACGAAAAATCCTGCACTGCATTAAAATTTTGAAAAAATTCTCGTTTAAGGGGGATAAACGCTGTGTAATTGTTTTTAATATTTATTTCTCTAATCTCGGTAAATATTACCCGGAACAAAACAAGACGTAGGTACTCGGTTTTTCCCATAGCAGAAATATGTGTATAAACAAATACGAACTGCTAAACTACTTAAACGACTTTTGTTAAAGTCATAATTTGTACACATAAAACAAGTACGATCATGCCTTCGCTCAATCTACTCCAAGAACTGTTTATCTTAATATTAATAAATAATAATGTGTATCTAAGATTACTAGTCTCACACAGCCAACATATTTAAGATTCAAGATTAAAAAAAAACTTGCACTTAGCTATTGCTTACCCACTGTTAGAATCGATATCAGTATCTTTTATTTCAAATAAATAAGCTTCTATGCTATTCTCTCAAACTTTTGAAATCAATAAAAAAAACGTAGATATATTTTTTATGTATATTGATTCATCTCAACAATATATACAACAATACAACATTGATTTCGTGTTTTTGTGTTTTAATCTAAATCACTTCTAATCCTATCTATATTTATATTTCAACCATTTCAATAGCTTTGAGAAAAGAAATGGGGTTATAAGTATATTAAGTTATAATAAGGTTATGACTACTATACCCCTTATAATAAGTAATGGAGTCATCCATCAACTGCAGCCTTTTACATTTTATATTGTATCACAATAATCTCTAGTTTTTTATTTATTTTTCCAATTTCTATATTGAGTAACCATGCAAAATTTATTGAGCATGTATTGGGCCAACAATGCAAAAAGTAGATGATACATTTGGTCTAGGCAGACCCTGTACAATATTTACGTTTGCGCAATTTTGCTGATCAAATCCTGACTCCCCTTTCCATTCTATTGCACATTCCACCTAACCCCCACTCTGACAAACATTAAACGTCAAAAGATCTGTGATCCAAAAAGTATTTTGGGATTTTCAAACATTTGCCCGGAATTTTTGGCTTTCGAAAATTTAGTTGCGAATCGATGGCGAGTTAATGCTGGCGGAGAGAGTTACGAACGAAAATGACTGATCGATCCAGAAGGTTAAGTTACGAAAACGCGGGATACCTTTCGGGAAAAATGGTTAACGTAAATGATCTTAGTCCTAGGAAAACAATGCTTGTTTTGGTGATAGTGGTCGGTTGTTTCGCTGTACTGTGGCCTAAAGTATTTTACCCCATGCTTGTAGGATCTGCGAATAATAAAATCAAACCCAGTGCTATTGACAGGACGCAAGGTACATATCCTAATTAGTTTTTATGAATATTTTACATTACTTTACTTTTTCAATTAAATACAATACAATAAAGTTATATATTCTATTTTTAATTGAAATCCTATGCTCCTCGTATTCATACAATATTTAATAAAGGTGTCACAAGATATTCAGGTACATTTTTCTTGTATGTTAAAATTTATATATTCTTGTAGTATCCAGCCAAGAAACAAATAAAAGAGGCGGGAATTATTAATTTTTGAAAAGTGAATACACATACAGTATACTTTTCTTCCTATATAGACTAGTCACTGTAGTTTTGTTCTCTCCTGCTTTTTTAGACATCATACTGTCCAGTACAATGCATTCTTCTTCTGGGACTCTGTTCTTTTTAATTTCTCTTAAGTAATTTCAATTCCTGATGATGCAATTTCCATTAAATCTTCTGAGAGCTGATTTCAAACTATTGAAATATTTGTTACATGATTGTTACTGTTATGTTTTCTATGTAACACTATAAAAATCTTCCACATTTGTAGGATTTTTCTTTATTTGATGCTACTTTACTATCTGAATTACAGAGTTTGTAGATGCAGCTTTCAAAGAGGTTATAAGAGGCCTTATAGACCACACTGCCCCCTGAAAGATCTTTTGTGTATAACCTACATTTAGTCCAGCAGATCTAGACTTCTAAGAAAGATTATTTAACATTTGAGAGGGCCACTGGTTTGGGCCACTATTTTGCCCATTTTAAAGATGTGATATATGAGTGAACAATGTCCAGGGGGAACATCTGTCTTTACACAGTTAGATTAATAGCTCTTAGTATAGGAGTTTGGTTACTTTGGGGATATCTGCTTTGCTAAGAAACAAGCATATCATAACTTGTTGCCATTCTTTTAGAATATAACCTAAGATGAGACTCACTTTAAATATTTTTAGTAGGTGGGACAGAATATCCATACCCTGCTGTAACAGGACTGGAAAGATTCCATCTGACACAGAAAATTTCTAAAAATTGCTATTATATTCAATTTGATTATTTGTCAAGATTTTCCCAACAAACTATTTGATGTTCTTGATAATCTGTATATAAATTCATCTTTTGAGAAATGGGGCAATAAATTACCATACTGGTCTATGAGGTTTATTGGGATAGGGGGAAGGAGTTTTGGTTTTGGACATGATTCTACTTTGATTTGAGCATGGATTCCTCAGGATCATGTATTTGTTCCAATTTTTCATGTATTTATTTACAACTTTTCAACTTTCAAGCGAAAATCAATCTGTTATCTAAAAATGGTGACCTCAAAACATATTTCATCTGGACTGTTAGTGATCAACCACATTTTAGCTATCAATTTTGAACATTTATCATCAATTTTTACATAATGTAATAACCTCATAAAATTTGATACAAGATAAATACATTATAATTAAACTTTTTACATGACTAATGACATCGTAAAATTGGATATAAGATGAATACATTTGAATTAAACTTTATTTTTTATTTTGTAAAATTTCATTTCTTGCTAGCCACTTTAACAGTTAAAATATTTAGGTTGCTGTGATGTTATATCCGAAAAAGACTTGACCACCCTCAAACTAATGTCTGAAATATGTGACACTATCATAAAAAGTGATAGCGATAAGCCTATGTCGAATAAAGAGTTGTTACAGAAGTGTCAGAATCTTGTATTAGACACATGCGGCATTGATATTTCCGCTGTCCTCCAGGAACAAGTCAGATTAGGCCACACTACCAAGCAAATATTAGAAGAAGTACGATCGCTAAATGGATCTCTATGCTTGAAATACAATTTTGGAATAGCACCATGGAAGTTAGGAGTACCTCATCGGGTTACTGTCAAGGTGTCACCTTCCTACAGTAAGCATTATTTAAAATGGTTTGAGTTTGCTTGTTGTGAAAAATAATATCTTTTAGTCGATAGAAATTATGCTAACAAAGTACTAACTTTTATGTTTGTGGGTTTTTAACCTGTTTTACTAATAGTACAAGATCAAACTATAGGATCACCAAGTTCATAATGTAATTAATCAAACTCACATTTTTACTGTATCTATATACTTAATATATTTTACTATATCTGTGTTTTTTACTTTGTTAAAACATTCTAAAGATTCTAACAAAGATAGCTTAAGGCCTTTATTTTGAATGTGAAGAATTTTAAATTCGTCATTAAAGTGATAAGAGTTTATAATAAACTTTGTGGAAGTTTTGAAAACAAAGTTTTTAGTGTTTTATTGTTACATAAAATGAATTTCCATCAAGTAACAGTCGAATCCATCAATTACCTTCATTCTTTGTTAAAACTAGATATAAAAGTTTCATTGGTACTAATGGACTCTCTTAAACTTAATTGTCCACTCTCTAAAGATGTCATCATATCTTTTGGCGTAAAACTTCGGCAATAAATTAGCAATCAATTATTTGTCGTTCGCTTTTTGGCTGAGATCTCGGTTTTTCTTCATGTATTTTGAGCTAAGGGATGATAGGGTAGCTTTTGGAGATTGGTTAATATACCAACCAAGAGAAATTAATTAGCAATAAAATATGCCGCCCAGATGGACTTTGTATTCCTTTTCCATACCGAGATATAGCTATAGCTATGCCAGCTTGACAGTAAAGTTAGCATATACCTATCCACTGTTTCTCGGAAACGGCTACAGTAATAAATTTTTTCTTTCCATAATAAATTACAGTGTTGGTCTGAATTTGGCCTTATAAAATGAATATGCTAACTTTACAGACATCAATTAGAATTAGATTTATAGAAATCTCTTATTTTGTTAGTTCATATTTTGTTTTCCCAGCTATTGATCATAAGGTTTTCTTTTCTAACATTCTAAGTACTCGTTTTGTTTTGTTGTATCGGCAATAAATCGCATATCCTTATACCTCTATAAATGGAGATAGATACCTTGGACATCCTGATATATAAGCCGCTTTATTTACTTAATAACATGAAAAAGTAACTACTTATTTGCTTCCCTTCCGCATTTTAAGAGTTAATTTGGTATGCCATCGTGTCCTGCGGTTTTCCTGGTTTTTAATTAACACATCCTATCCATGATTCCTTCTTTTGTGAACTCTATGTTGACTGCATCATCTGCTTCTCATTCTTCCTCTTTATATATTATACTTACTATCTCTGCCATCCCTGATTTCTTCTTTTGTGACTTATATGCTGACTATTATCGCTTTCTCGTTCTTTTCTCTCTATTGTAAAGATTTTTCGAAAACATCCCAATCTCCTATGCAACGCAAATGGTGAAATAATAGCCGATCTACAAGAAAAGCTTAGGACCTGGAAGAACTATGTAGAAGAATTGTTCGACGATGAAAGACAAGAACCTAATATAGATAACTTGCAAGGCGACGAAGGACCAGAAATAACTAAAGAAGAACTATTATACGCTATAAAAATAATGAAAAATGCTAAATCACCGGGTCCAGACGGGCTCACATCAGAACTTCTTAAGTTTGTGGAAGGCGAATCAGTGAATATTCTATTCGACCTTTTTAACTGCATCTACAAAAGAGGAGAAATACCAAAGGAATGGCTATTTTCAACTTTTGTAACCTTACCAAAAAAGGCAAATGCAAAACAGTGCACTGACTACCGCACTATAAGCTTAATGGGGCATACATTAAAAGTATTCATCAAAGTAATCCACTCAAGAATTAACAGAAAACTAGATGCAGATATTAGTAATACTCAATTCGGATTTCGGAACGGGCTTGGAACAAGAGAAGCACTATTTGCACTTAACGTCATATGCCAAAGATGTCTAGATATAAACCAAGATATATATATATATATATATATATATATATATATATATATATATATATATATATATATGTGCTTTATTGATTACAACAAAGCGTTTGATAAAGTTCGTCACTACCACTTAATGAAACTGCTAGTAGAAAAAAACTTAGATAAAAGGGACATTAGAATTATCTCTAAGATTTACTATAACCAGAAAGCAAATATCCGAATAGAGCAAGAGACAACGTAGGAAATCGAGATCAAGAAAGGCGTAAGACAGGGTTATATACTCTCACCGACCTTATTCAATCTATACTCCGAAGACATTATAAACACAGCACTTTCGGATCAAAATATAGGTATTAAGATAAATGGCATCCGAATAAACAACTTGAGATATGCCGATGACACGGTACTAATCGCAGAAACTTGGGAAGATCTTCAAATACTAATTAACAAAATAGTAGAATGCAGTGAAGAACACGGATTATCACTTAACATAAGCAAAACAAAAATAATGCTAATATCTAAATCACCACAAAACTTCCCTGACATAACCGTGCATGATCAAAGAATCGAACGTGTAAGAAGATATAATTACCTGGGAACTGTTATCAACGAAAATAATGACTGCTCTGAAGAAATCAGAACCAGAATAGAGAAAGCTAGAGCCACATTTACTAAATTGAAAAAGGTGTTCTGCGGAAGAGATCTAAGTCTATAACTTAAAATTCGCCTTTTGAGATGTTACGTTATGTCAGTTCTCCTCTACGGGATGGAAACATGGACATTGAAAAAGATCGATACCAAAAAGATAGAAGCATTTGAGTTGTGGATGTATCGTAGAATATTAAGAATACCCTGGACAGAGAAAGTAACAAATGTGGAGGTTTTGCGGAGAGTGCGGAAAGAGAAAGAGCTGATACTTACTGTTAAAAAGCGCAAACTACAATATTTGGGACATGTTATGAGGGGAGATAAATACCAGTTGCTGCAATTGATTATACAGGGAAAGATAATGGGAAAGAGATCTATAGGAAGAAGAAGGCATTCATGGTTGAAAAACTTGAGAGAATGGTACAATTGCACCAATTACCAACTGTTTAGATCTGCAGCATCAAAAATACGCATAGCTTTGATGATAGCCAAACTTCGGAACGAAGACGGCACTTGAAGAAGAAGAAGTAAAGATTTTAATACATGTTTTCAATTGGTAAAAAAAAATTTAAAAAAAAATTGCTGTTTTAATTTTGTGTATATTTATTTTCATTAATAGGTTTTTTTCCTTCGATAATTTCTACCTTTTGGAAATTTACCCCTTGGAAGTGCTAAAATTGATCTTATGAGAATCATAAAAAATGGCAAAAATCGCACAACGTTTGTTTATAGACAGCTTTATAGAAAACTGACTTCATTTGCGGTAAAAATTGAGTACGAAAGCTGCACCCTTCACCAATAAAGCGCCTTTTGATTGTTGTCGATATTTTATTTAAAAAATTGATTTCGCGCCCGTACCTGACATTCAAAATCGTTGGTCGCTTCAAGAAGGGTTCATTCTACCCAAAAAGTGCCAATAAACATTTTTGTTCAAAATTATTTCAGCTTAATTTCTTGTTTGAAACATTTTTTCCACGGCGTACAAATTCTTTGTAAATCGATGTTTTTCTTCTCGTCTCCTACGAGAGGGTTTTAGGGGGAATCTCTAGGAGGTAGGAGTGAAAAAACGTTTTTGCCTATTTTTTGGGGTCCCAAAATTTACATTCTCTGTAAAAATTCAACTGTTGGTATGATTTTTAGAGGTCCAGTGGCCTCTAACAACTGGAGTATTTCAGAATTATGTGAAGTTAGGCGAGGCTCACGGAAGTAGCGCCCGAAATAGCGTATATCGTAGCGTTACTTCTACTACAGAAGCGTCTTGCAAGGCGCTGTAAACAGTTGGAAGAGTCCATTTACGTGACGAGGAGAGTCCGTTATAGAACATGTAAACTTTTAAAATTTTATTAAAATCCATAGCAAGGATATTAACTAATAGCGGTTTTATGCAATTCTTAAATATATTTTTTTGTTTATTTAAATCATTTATAGATTCTCTACGTGTTTATTAAAATTGCACGTATAATTAAAATAATAAATAAATGATAAAATTACTTTATTCAATTTTAAAAATAATATTTCAAATTTAAAAATACAGAAAACTTGGTATGAAGCTTCGCGCTATTCTACAGTACCGCCTATTGTACCACGTTTTTTTTTTTCTTTAGGTATACGGCAAGAAAGGCCTCTTCATCTCAGATCCGAAATGGTACATCCAGCTTTTCGAGAGAGGGGAAGAGCAATACCTCAGGCAGAATTTGCTCCCACGAAACCTGCACCTCCTTCACGACTCATTCCAAAAATTGTTGATGGAAGGGTAAGTAAATATTCTTATTTTTTTTATGTCATTATTGTTTAATTTTTAACGTAATTGATTAAACTACATATCTATATGAGTCAGTCAAATAAACTTTCGAATATTTATGAGACGTAAAATCGGGTCTTTGGTTCTTTGTTCGTGAGTAAGGGTGGCCGCACACAGAAAGAGCAAACTCTTTTAGTCAAAAACGTTTTTGACTAAACGAGTCTGATGCTGATGTTTCCATATAAATGAAATGAGCTGACGCACACTGATTAGTCGTGTGTCTAAAGCATGTTTAGGCTCATTTAGTTTCAGTCAGTCTGTTTGATGTTGATTACCTGATCGTCGTTTTGTCTCGAAACATTTCAATGTACGCAGGCGCAACGTGTTTTTGGAATTCTTTTCTTGAAACTACTCGGATAGTCAACAAGAACCACATTTGAAAATAGCGATATTTTGTTTTTTTCGTCTTGTAGGTGAACCACTGCCTGAAAACTAGTACAATTTCGTTGTTATCTGTCGACATCTTTAATAAAATTGATTGCAGTATGGTTTGTTCAAACATTTTGTTTCTCTTGAAAATAAAATGTTTCTTGTGGAAACAAAAACGTTTTCGTTTCAAACAAAAGCGTTTTTGACTAAAACAGTTTTGCTCTTTCTGTGTGCGGCCACCCTTAGAGTTAACATTCATTTTAT